TGTCTGTGCTATGTCTGCAGATTGTACCCTGGTTTCAAAGCTGCACTGCATGCCTTTATAGCTGTGAGCTGTGTCCAGTAATAGCACCACGAAGTTGTTTTAGCAGAGTGTAATAGGTTATAAACTACCACTTGATCTTGGCCTAATGCCCTGAAACTGTTGCCGAGCCATCTGCAGCTAAGTGCATGATGATAAACAGTGTGTGACCCGTTTTATTTTATTTTCCCGAGTACGTTTGTTAGAAATCTGTTTGCATGAATCAGAATGATCCTCAAACAAGACAGACTCTTTGTGGAGATTATCACTCTTCACTGTTGACATATTCTATCCTTGGCAGAAATTTCAAATTGCTGTTTAAAAGGCTCTAAGTGATCTCCTCTCCTCTTGGCTGAATGGAAGCGAGTTGGTGGCGTACAGGCCAGCGGCCAGTAAGAGACCATAACAGACACCAAGCAGGGACATGTAAGGGAAAGGCATCATGGTGGATTATAAACAGTGTCGGACCTTCTGAAATCTGCATAGGCCCCCCTCCCCCTTTTTCTCTTTTGCTGTGATGCGCTGTGCATCTCACAGGATGGCTGAAATCAGATTGGGAGGGGGGATGGCGGCAAACAGCAATTAGCAATATGTCATACAATGGTGTTTGCAGAAGCAATATGCCGTGATTATCGGATCGTTTAGTCTGCTTCTCTGCTCACGCCATGCATTTCCCTCTGCCTCTCGCTCACTCTCTCTCTGAAACATTGCTACTTTGATATTTCTGTCCACAATAAGCCAACAAGGCAGAATTAAAGCGATGTTTTCTCCATTTCCTCCTCTGATCTATTCAGTACCAGGGATAGCGCCAGGTGGCTTAACACAAATATCCTAAATTTGTCTGTTTACAGCATACCTCACAAGCAGAAAAATAAACCAGCTCTTCTATGTTTTCTCAGTAGCAGCCTTCCTGATAACAAGCTTCAATTATTATAGAAAAACAACAATTTCATTACAGTCATTGCTTTGAAAATGAAATGGGAAAAGTTTTTTTTTTTCAGGGTACAGAAGAGAAAATGCTTGTTTTTTTGGTAATGGATATGTGGGTGAATATTGCAAGAAGTCGTGCTCATTTTAACCCTTCCAGCATGCAAAAACAGACCAAATAACTGAAATCAGTATAAATGGATTGTTGCAATTTGGCCAGTTTCCACTTCAGCTGCCGGATCCTATTTCAGGACGTGCCATGTGCTATTTGGCAGTCAGTGAGTTTGTATAAATGGCTCTTTTAATTTTAATTTAGCCTGGAAGTCATTGTTGAAACACACCTGGGCATTTAAATTTGTTTCAGCAAATGCATAGTTGTTAACATTTAGCTGCTGTTATTGAGAAACACTGTTCTCAGACTGAAATTTAGTTTTATATAGTGCAAAAGCATTTGCCTCATAACTGATTTTTTTTTCTTGTTTTGTTTTGTTTATTTGCATATTTTTCACACTTAAATGTTTCAGATCATCAAACAAAGATGACGTGAATAAATACAAAATGCAGTTTTGAAAAGGGGGGAAAAAATGTTATCCAAACATACATGACCCCATGTGAAAGTAACTGCCTCTTAAATCTAATTCTGCCACCATTTGTAGCAACTGCTAATGAGTCTTTCACGTCCATGTGCAGGAATTTAGGCCCACTCTTCTTTGCATACTTGCTTTAATTCAGCAACACTGAACGATTTTAAAGAACAAACAACCTGTTAAAAGTCAGGCCAAAGTATCTCGCTTGGATTTAGACGTTTCGTGACACTACTGCCATCCTGCATAACTCTTGGTATGATGTTCGTTTTCATAAAAAGCTTCATCAGTTTTACGCCAGATGTAACGGGACTCGAACCTTTCAAAAATGTAAACTTTTGTCTCGTCAGTCCTCGTCAGCTATTGTTGAGTTTCTTTAGATCACAGCACGATGTGATGCTTATTGAGATCCCTGTCCCTTTGTTGAAAGTGCTGCAGCTGCTATACCATCTTTAAGATAACTGAAGATGAGTTAGTGAAATCATACTTCAGAATTGGTTTTAGTAAAAAGAAAATTATTTCTTCTTTAGCACATAAACACAGTGTGGTGATAAATAGAAGGATGCAGAAAAGATGGTGCAGAAAGCTACAATAGTCAGAAGGAAAGTACACAAACCTGAAGGAGTTGGCTTGATTTGTACACAATGAAATAGCTGGCAGTGGACAGATGCAAGGATATTGATGGTCACACCGTCGAGCAATAGACAGGATGTATGTTAAATCACAAGACACAATCAGATGGCTGATCAGTTTGTTTCACTAACTTATTTACACAAGGCATAAAATTATCACTAATATATATACATTTTTTTAAATGTTGCCCTAATACTCCTTAAGAAAGATGTGACCATTTTACAAATGATAATGATCAGAAGGTGGGGAAATACCTCACAGCACTTTATTAGCTAGATTGATATGCATAGAATAAGCCAAATATTTGAGGTTATATGGTGCAGTTTGCTCAAAGTGTGTCTGTAATAAACAAATAAACATTTTCAAAGTGAGCCAGAAGAGTATAGCACACACACAGGCTTGCTTTGACACAGTAGAACAGCCTGTCGTTTCTAAAGATAGGATTCAAAACAGCGTCACGTGAGGTGGTGATAAGTTTCCTCACGGTGTCATTTTAGATGCAGGAACCTGAGGATGTCAGCGCTGGAAACACCGCTGTAAGGGAACAACAAAAAAACAGTTTTATATCGAGACCGACCACTCATTCAGACGTCTACACACTTGACCCGGCTCCTCTCTGTGCAGGGGTTGTGTTGTTTTAAAAAAAAAAACCAAGTAATTTGGGTGAGCTGACCCTTTGCGCTCTCCCCTCTCTCATTTTGCTCCTCCTAGACTTTGACAGGTTTGTTTGCTGATTGCTTAAATAGCTTCTGCCACTGTTAATTTGACTTAATTGACCTTTTGATTAGGGTTCTCATTAACAATTCTAATGTCTACACAGGAGCCTTCTTGTGATATATTACTCAGCTGGCGTGCAGCAGTATGTGGCTGTTCAACAGTGCTTCTTTCACAACACAACAGAAAGAATAATGGAGCTGTTGGTCTTTATATGTTTAAAAATATACCTATGTTGAGGTATAATTATGTGAATCCACTCTAAATGGAGGTTCTTGAGCTAAACCGGCCTTGCAAGTTTCGCTTGAATCAAATTGAAATTTATAGCATTGAGCACAAAAAGGGACAAAAAACCCCACTAATTTCTGTCGAGAAATATAATTTGCTATTTGTGAAAGTTTGCTTTGTTCATGTGATACTGCTCTGTTTCACAGGAACATCCTGCTGAGTTTCCAATTATCAGTCCGTAATGCCAGTGCCCTGTTTCGTTTCTACCCATCTTTTGTCTTTAATGGGAAAACTAGCCTTCTCCATCCTGATGTGATGACTTTGTATGGATGATTGGTTACTTGAGAACTTAAAACTGAAGATTGCTTCTCTTTCAGTTCTCTTCAATGACAAAGACAGAAAAGTGTGTATTTATGGCTGTGTATAAACAATCTAGGCAATTTGCTTCACAGCACTGATGGTTCTTAAATGTTCTTTTGAATTGATTGTTGAATTATGTTGGAGTAATGTGGTGAAGGGAAACTCGAACAAAGACACTGTGTGTGCGTGCATGTGTCAGACTATACAAAACTTCAGAGAACCTAATTAAGAAACTATTTTTTACAATAACAACGCTGAATTATCTGTTACCATAGTCCACTACAGTCTGGCGATTATACAGATTATAATTGCTTAATTTATTTATCATTTCTTCTTCGGGAGAAATTTCATACTCTTGTAGCTCTACAAGGGTATGCCTATAATTATGTCAGTGTTTGCCAGGATTTATTTTGTTGTTGTTGTTTGATAAAGAAACTATTAAAACGCTTTATACAATTGGCTTTAGAAATAGACAAAAAATTTTTTGCTTCTGTATACCACCAAAGTGGAATTTAAATGAAACATTCATGATTTGATTGAGGTGCAGACTTTATGCTTTATAGGCATATAGATTTTTATGCTTGTTGTTGAGGTTTCTGTCTAAATCAGACAGACTCACATGGACCATCATCCATAGACTGTACATGAGAGATTGGGAGACTGGCACAGCTTACTGGTGTGAAAAGTGAAGTCAGTGTGAAAGTACTGTTAAACTGCATTTTATAATTATTTGCTTTAGGGTGAGGCTACCGTGTGGTTTACAAACTGCTATAATATGAGTGTGCAGTGTCTCTTGGTTTCTTAGTCCGATTCACCTCCTGGTCATCACATACAGTGTGAGGGCTACACTAACTAAGAGGTGATGTCACAGCAGTTACATTTATGTGAATACGTTTGTGTGACTTGTTATTAGCTGACGGCAGATGTATCCACTGTGGCCCATCTTTGTGGTTGTTTGAGTTCTTGTTACCTTCCTGTCAACTCAAAGCTAATTGGCCTTTCTCCTCTGACCTCCAGCATCAACAAAAATCCAAACCTATCTGTCCCTGTGTCGAAATAAATAATTGTCTTATTGTTAAATCAGGCATCGACTGTGAAAACCACGTTTTTTGGGGAAGCAAAGTTCAATTTCACTAGCTATATCCAGCCCTGATTACTGCTGGACCTCCTGAATCAAGAAATCACTTAAATAGAACCTGTCTGACAAAGTGATGTTGCTGTATTTTCCTTCTAATATGTATGACCTTAAACTTAAGTATTGTACGCGTCTCTTTCTCTGTTGTCTTTGAGACCTGGTGGTCTAAGCACTTTCCGTTTTTTTCCACCTCACTGTTCCCTGCTAAGTGGTAGCTGACGAACATGTAATTGTGGAAATTAAGCTTTGGCCCACTGAATGTTTTATTCTCTTAGTTATATTTAAATCTGCAGAAACTGAGCGAACCTAGAAACCTGCTGGTTTCCCATCATGTTCAAGCTGATGACTAATCTGTCCTAACTGCTTCGCTTGTGTGTTTCCAGCTAATAGGCGGATGTATCCTGGGTATTGGCATCTATGCAGAAGTAGAGCGACAGCAGTACAAGACACTGGAGGGTGTGTTTCTGGCCCCATCTATAATCCTGATCCTACTGGGCATCATCCTATTTGTTGTTTCATTCATTGGAGTCTTGGGTTCCCTGAGGGATAATATAACTCTATTGAAAGTGGTGAGTGGTGAAGTATTGGAAATTGCCTTTGCATCATTGTTATTTGTAAAGATGCAAATAACCCCCCCCCCCACACACACACACACACACAGTTTAAACTAAACCAGTCTGTCTTACTTTCTGGGATTTAAAGACAGACAAACAAACAGAAAAAGCTGTTACTGGATGAAACTGGTTGAGAGTTGCATGATGCTGCACCAAAAACCTAGTTGGAATTGCTTTGCTAGCAGATCGTTTGCTTATAAGATGCCAACTTGTCTGCAAACACTTTCCAACTGAAACTGTGTGAAGAGTGTGACACAAACCAGAAATAGAGATTGTTACGTTTTGGAAACATGTTTGTTTCACTGGTAAAAGCACAACTTTTACTTCAGCTGTAGCAACGTGCTAGCAACCAAAACAATCAATAGGAGGTATTTGGTGCAGCATCACATTTGCAACTGATTTCATCGCCAGCAACCAGTCAGACAATGTATATTTTCCCTAGTGACTGGAGGATGCTCACACCAGTCTCTAAGCTGGAGTGAGTAATGGCTTATTACACTAAGGAGAGAGAGTCATTTGACATAATGTACTAAATTTTTGCTTCTGTTATGTACTAAAACTATAGGAAGAAATGCAATGAACTGACTGGTGAAAAATCAAGACACACTGTATTACAAATTACTTAATAAGCAACTAAACAACTGGAGTCACTGCCAGATGCAGGAAAAGACAAACATGTGAAGATGGCATCTATATTCAGGATTTTATGAAAGCACAGAGCAAGACCAGAGTGTTCTGGTCACCGGTTGCTTTAGAGATTAACTAGGATAGGAAGGAAAGGTCTTTCTGTATGGACACAATACACAAACTGTTAAAAGATGCACACAAAGGCACTATAGAAAACGTTATCTCAATTTTTTTTTATTTTTTTTGGGGGGAGGGATATGCTTGAACTCAATAGAACAATGAAATTCATATTCTTGTCTGGTGCACCACAGTTCATGTACACCCTGGCAGTGTGTCTGCTCCTGGAGCTGGTTGGAGCAATCTTGGGGCTGGTGTTTCACAACCAGGTGAGTTGCCTCAAGTGTTAATCAGTTCCCTACCATTTTGAAATGCTCTGACTTCAGCAGGTGGGCAGTGAAGGCATGTGTTTTATTTCACGTAGCAGGGAGCAAGATAACAACCAAAGCAGTCTGACACTGACAGTCTGCTTACCACGAGGAAGAGATTCACTCTAGCCAAGAAAAGTAAAGCCACATTATGTAGTTTAATTTGATTTCTGAAGTCTTATTCTCTTTAACATGAGATAAAGCTGTTAAAAGCTGTTTTCCTGTGACCAATACAATAGATTAAACTTGCACAGGATCAGAATTCATATGTTTAGAAGAATATGTAGAATTATCAGTTGTCTATGTGATATTTATGTCATCTTTCACAATGTCTCTGCATTTGGCACTTTTAATATTTCCCTCTCAAGTTCTCCTGTTGGTCCTGCTTACTGTCTCTGCCTTATGATCTCTGGCTTCTTCCAGCATAGGTCATCATGTCTGTCAATACTTTTTAAACCAGAAAGGAGCAACTTTACATGACATAGAAACTCCAAATAGTTAAAATGTAAAGAATGGAAAGTTAAAGTCAGTGATTGTTGGAAATTACTGCAGTGTTGAATGTCAAACTGTCTGCAATAAGGCACTGCGGGTGGGTGATTCAAAATGCAGGGTCTTGTCTAATGTAGAGGCCCCCAACCCCGAAGTGTAGAGCACCTTTTAATGAATCCTGTTTAGACAAGAAAACTCGATTGCCTTTATTTGCTGTGCTGTTGGATTTTCCAGAGGTTGTTCCTGCTGCTGCGTCGTACCAAGAGGTTTTAATGGTGCGCCATTTAAAGGCAGTTGTTAATAAAAGCAACAGAAATTGAGGCTTAATCATCAGGATTGTGATTTTTATTTTGTAATCCTTTTTTATGGGGAAGGCTCAGTTTTAAATGAAGTGTAAAGGGGACCAAAATGAGACACTGTGGGAGGCTCATTTGATTCATCAACAAATTCTTAAATAAAAAAACAACAACAACCAATTATGGCTGCATGTTGTAAAATTTATTTTATATGAAACAAATTATCAAACCTCCACCTCTTAATGATTTAACTCGATGTAAATGAGGCATCGGGGTTCTGTACTCCAACAACACTGTTTATTATGCTTTTATTAAAATAATGAAAATGGGTCCACTTCACATGGATTAAATTTGATGTTATGTAAACAATAATTTTCTGTATATTTAAAATAAACTTTGGCTCAAACTAAAGGAGGTTGTTCAAGCAGAATTACAAAAAAAACCAAGATCTGGATGTAAATATGTCGTTTTTTGTTGTTGTTTGTTTTTTAGTTAGTTTTTTAATTGTAATCCAAGCCTCTCTAGATGAGAGGTCTAAAAAATAATCTTATAAAGTTAAAGCTGCAGGGTTTTGTTTTTTGTTTTTGTTTTTTTTTAATCATAATTACTAAAGAAGGGCTAACAACAGAAGGTAGATAAGCCAGTAAATCTAGGGTCTGTAGTGTCTTAAGTCCTCTTTATCAAAATCAACATAACAGAAATAAAGCAGGAAAAATAGACCCTCTGGACCCATCAAAAAAACCAAAAACACAAAACCCCCACACACACATACACAAAATAATTAATAACTGTTCAACCAAAAATTACCGCTGCACTGGCTGGACGGTGTGTAGAGGAAAGGAAAGCACACCAAGGGTCCTGCCCCCTCTTTATTGCTTTTCAGTTAATCACACCAGACCAGCTACACCTGAGAGGAGAGCACAACGCACCGTGAGTCACAGATCATTTACACACCATAACCGGCACGAAGGGGGAGATAACATTGACATGACTTATCTCCTTCTCATTTGCATGTTACAGCGCCGTGTTCGTTAGGCATAAAATTCCTCATATAATTTTGTTAAATGAAAACCTTTTGATAATTAATTTTGAGGGGAAAAAACAGGATGGTGTTAATGGTTATTAAAATTACAGAATAACTTTGTTAGGTGCTTAGCCTCTATCCTGCCCTGAGAAATGAGGTTTGCACAGAACACAACTGGTGGAGGATGATAACTAATATGAGCCATGATCAAAACAAGATTCGCGTTAATCAAGCAAACATCACCAATTCTCTGATAGCATCCTGACGTCATTGGGTTTTCTTTATAAATAGCTCACTCTCATAAATATCTTGATGTGGATTTGTAGGGAAGAGCTTAAGAATCCTTCCGTCCTCTGCTGAGAACAACTCCACACCACATAATTTTGTCCACAGCCCCGCCTAGTTTTAATAAATTCTGCCAAGTGGTTTTTGCCTAATCTTTCAGACACACGGGTAAACAAATGACAATGGAAACTTTAATTTCCCTGAGGCTCAACCCGTTTTGACGATAAAGGCTTGTGTTTTATTTAAATCTATTTTCATTTTTATGTCAGAATATATGACAGAATAGAATAATCCTTTAATTGCCCCACAAGGGGAAATTTGGCTGTAACAGCAGCCAGAAAGACACATATACAACAAACAGGACACAGAACAGAAACATACACAATTTTTCTTACATATTTACATCAAGGACAATGGGTTACTATAAACAGAGTGCTGTTATTAAATTAAATAAAATTAACTACAGATAAGAGGCAAACCAGGTTGTAGTGCGAATCGGTTGATTAAATTATTGCAGTTACAGCGCAGATGTAAACATCTATGTTTGTTGGGAGCAGTTCTGGTTGTACAGTCTGACAGCTGCAGGGAGGAAGGACCTGCGGAAACGCTCCTTCATGCATCTAGGATGCAGCAGTCTGTCACTGAAGGAGCTCTGCAGTTCAGCAACATTTACATGCATGGGGTGGGAGACTCTGTCCATCAGAGATGAGTCCTTCTGTCTCCCACCACCTGCACTGGGTCCAGGGTGCATCCCAGAACAGAGCTGGCCTTCCTGATGAGTTTATCCAACCTCTTCCTCTCAGCTGCCGATAAACTGCTGCTCCAACATACAACACTGTAAAAAATGACAGATGCCACCACAGAGTCATAGAAGGTCTTTAAAAGCGCTCCCTGGACTCCAAATTCAATCACAAATCTGTTGCTGTCTACAGACACAGAAAATCACATCTACTACTTACATCCAGCAAGAGCCTCTTAGACGTGAAACTGAAATTCCTCCACCCCCCAGATGACATTCTTTGTTAATGAAGCTTTCCACTTCAGGCTCACAAACATAAGATCTGGGACTTGACTCTTTGTTTCACCCTCCTCTGCTCAAAGTTGTACGACTGAAGGTCACCTACTCTGGTCAGAACACAAAAAGGCTCCACTTGTGTTGAAAAAATGAATTAATCATTAATCTTTTTGAATTTGAGTCATATTTATTTAATTCCCTCACTATGCTCTGTGTGCTGCTCTTTGAAACTTTTGAACATTAAAGGTTACTGATTTTATTTCAGGTCTGACACTCTCATGTAGGAAACATAGAAATTGTTTTAATTGGTTGCCAAATTAAAGTGAAATTAATTTCACTGATTAACTGACTGATTCTTAGTGATACACTGGTCACATTTTTAATCTGTTCAGTGTAAAACCAACTATAACAGATTTCCATTTCCTGCATCACCATCTTAATGCATATGGATTTTCATGACAAGGCGTACTTTTACGATGTGGCTCAACAGGTTGCACGTATGAAATGTTGAGAGCACAATCGAGATTTCAATCTTTAAAAGAATCCCTGAAAATGTCTTTCAAAAAGACATTTTGAACGTCTACATACTTATTTTTGGCTTCCCGTTTTAATTAACATCCTGTTTGAGGAGATGATGCCCTTTGAGCTCTCGTTCTACAAATGTGCACATCGTACTTTGGTTTAAATGTGGGTGCCTTGTCCCAGTACATCCACTGTCAACACCTGATATGTTCAAGAGGGGAAGAAAAGAAATGAAATGAAAAATTAAATCTCTTTTAATCTCTGTGGCCCTAATGGAGGAGGCTGCATTCTTGATTCGTTATTGTCGGCAGTGCTTCGAAGAATGAAATAAAGGAACAATATTAGGCCTAAGTAAAGGGTAAAAAAGCAGCGCTTTGTCGCTTTCATCGCCAATGAACTATAAATAAGACTAATGTATCAGAAACAGAGTGGTGAAATTAGTGGAGTAAATGAACCGTTCCCTGAATGAAAACATTTAATGAAAAGCTCTCAAAAAATTCTCTTAAGAGACCTCCAAATTATAAATATTTATGCCAAGTGACTGTATAAGCTTATATATTAAACTTAATGTAACCCCACAGCACCAGATTGTGACTGACAGATGTGAGCGGTCAAGTTCTCTCTCTCATTTTAATATCCTGGTTCAGTGAATCAGTCACCTTGACTTATGATAGCATTTGCTCTCAGCAGGCGCCTGTTTGACACACTGATTGTTGTGTACCGAAATACCCTTTAACATAGAGGGTATTTTGGTACACAACACACACAATTTGAGACACAATTGGCTGCTTTTTAAAAAAAAATATATAAGTAGGAGGAATAAAAGCTCTAACATTAAAAAAAAAAAAAAAATCAAAACTGTTTCATTGATCATAATTTTGCACAGTCAAAGCTCTTAAATCCTTAAATCCCCTAAAATGTTGATTAAGCTCAACAAGTCATGATTATGTTTGGTTATTAAAGCTTAATGCAATTCCACGGTTAACCCTGAAAGTCACACTACAAATAAAACCTGCAGCTTCTCCTTTCAAAAACATGGGTTATATTTGGCTCTGCTTTTATTTGGAGTTGTGGCTTCGTGTTAAGGCTAACAATATCCACATACTGTAACTGTTGGGCAGCATGCAGTGTGCTATTAAAACAGGATGAGGACAAATACATCACCATAAATGGACTACTGCCGTTTTGCTTAGAGGACGTGCCGGCCCAAAGACATTTCATACAGCACCGAAAATGGCAACTAAATGGTTTTTGACACATACAAGTAACTCTAAAGCTCCACTGACAGATGTGATAATCTGACTTTCTCCTCTCCTGTACTATTCACAGTTTTGCGTTCTTTTTCTAACTCCCTCACAGGCGGAACGTTTATTGAACAAGAACATTCGAAAGGGCATAGTAAACTACTACGATGACTTGGACTTCAAAAACATCATGGACTACGTTCAGAATAGGGTAAGTCAACTCTTAATTTTCTGTTATTTGATAAACGTCACCTGTGATAGTCTTTTTTTACATACGGACTGTATTAATCACCCAGAAACCCTCAGGACTTTAAATAAAGTCAGAAACCAAAGTTCCTTGACTTGACTTTAGTAAATCCCCAAATACACAGCTTTAAAGGATAAATAAATATTACAGCCTATACCTCTCCATCTGTACTAAGAGTGATTTTTTTTTTTTTTTTTTTTTTTTTTTTAAGATCACTGATCTGTTTTAATAGTTTTAAGGGTTAAAGTTATGCCCTCTAATCTATAAATTATAAACTAGAATTAAAGACGGTAAAGAGTCAGGTGTTTAGCTTTTTTTGCTTTTTTTTTTTTTCTCTCTCTCTCTCAGTAGGTGCATGTTGTTGTTATAATCCCTTTAATGACAGCTATAATGCGACAGCCAAGCTAGTTAGACAGAACTAGTATTAGCTGGTAAATATCCCGGTAAACACTCACATCCTGTTATGGTCATATCTAGTTAAAAAAACTAAAATGAGGCCAGTGCTTAGACTATGGGTGAAGTCACAGCAGTGGTATCCATCTTTTATGTATAGTCTATGTTAATAATCTCCTGCAGTAGAGACAAAGCCTGATTATTATTATTATAAAGCTGAGGATTTTTTGTTGTTTTAAAACTGCACAACCAGTGAACCTGAATCCTCACTGAAAAATTTTAGTTGCATCGCTGTGCATGACCATCAGAGCACACCGAGCCGCCATGCACACAGCCTGAAGCTGGAGATCTCTTTCCCAGCTTTTATCAAGCATATGGTAATGCACTGTAGGGGACAGCGGACTGGTCACACATTGAAACTAGCAGCCAGCTACAAACTCTGATTAGCACAGGAGAGGGGGCATATGTTCTGCACGCTACAGGCCTTCATCATTTTAAGGATTGTGTACTGTGGATTTGTGGCCTGATTGCGTGATAGTTGCAGGCTGCTTGAATTCCCTAAAGCTATTGTGTCTCAGGTGATTTGGTGGTTTAGAAAATGGGCTGAATTTTTACACAGTTGTGGACTGGCAGATTTAACAGCATTTGAGCATTGTCCATGAAAGCTACAAGAAAGATCTTTGTGTGCATTTGGTCAGGTCCAGATAACTGATAACGGGTGTTTGTAAAACTTTCTCAGGATGAGAAACAGTTTATGCATGTCGATCTTTGAATGGAGGATACTGGCTTTTGCTTTGATGGGGCTTTGTCTCTGTAATACACCGAGCACACCCTGATCTGTTTCAGGGTTAACACAGAGGGGCAGATGATGGTTCATGTGCACAATCATACTTATGGACAATTGTGGAATGACCAGTTAATCTCACATTAGTCTTTGGATTGTGTGAGAAAACTGCACTACCCAGAGGTTACCAAAGCAGGGACGAGGACAGGCAAACTTTACTCTATACTAGCTGGATGTGTAAATTGATAAATAAGGCATTTATACTGAGAGAACTGTTGCTCACTCGATAATTTCTCTTTTTTAACCAATCGCTGTAAACCCTAGAGATGGTTGCGTGTGATAATCCCAGTAGATCAGCAGTTTCTAAAATACTCAGACGGGTCCAAATTGCATCAACAAACACGCCACCTTAAATCACATTTCTTCCCTATTCACATGTTCAATTTGATCTTCAGCAGGTTATTAGCGGAAGAGGCCTAATAAATCTGGTCAGTTTATAAAGAGAGAATGCAACGAGATTTTTAAAAATTAATATCTTTCTCTTTCACAGAGAAGGTTTGTTAATGCTGGAGGAAAAAACATCTGACAATAATGCATGTGCTTAGTTGGTTAGGACAATTAGTTTGGTGTATTTATTTTTGTCAAAGATCAGCAGCACCTTGGTTATGCAGATCTTAGTTGGTTGTGTAGAAAAGAAGTGCCGATTAATTATCTGTCAAAACATAAAAGGAGCCTCTTTTTTTTGTTTTGGCAGCCGATTCATCCAGTGACATGTTTGAAGAACTTTATAGCAGCAAAGATTGCTTCAGTGATGTTAGAAAGCCATTTAACAGAAGCCTGTAAAGGTTTTTAAAGCTGCTTGCTGGGCCCGTTGCCCTGCTCTTAGAGAGATTAAGTGTTTTTCTGAAGAACTTCAATGGAAAACCATGTTTGAAAAAACAAACTTGGAGGGCACTGAGACTGTTCTGAACTTATTTTTGTTTGTGAGAACGGTACCAAATTCAGTCGTGCATTTGTGTTTGCGTCGTGTAAATGGTGACATTTTTTTCTGTTCCTTTCATATAAGATTTAAAAAGGCGTCCCTTTGTTGTCGGTGGGTAAGTGAGAACAACTGAATAGGAAGTTTATGTTGCGTTTGTCTGTGAGCAATCAGAATATTTCACTGCTCATACCAGGTCTGTGCCCTGTGAGCACAGTTCTGTATCCAGCAGTGTTTTTAATGTTCTTCTACATTATAAAACCATCTATTTTTTATTTTAATGTGTTCTGTGTAATGTCGTCCCGTGTGAGTTCCCTGAACTCTGGAAAAGCTCATATCCAGTAAGAAGACAAAAACATTTCTAATGTGTTTAGATGGCACCTCCATCTGTACTGTCAGGTTATTTTATTTTTGTGTGTGTATAATGCGAAAAGGGTCAGAGGAGTCTTTCCTGCAAAATGCCTGAAGGTGTTTTGAGTGTAAACTCAACAGGAGACGTCCTGTCCCAGTCTCCATGTAAATAGCTGCTGATGTTTTGGATGGGGCTACATCTTAGCCATCTGTCATAATTGCAACAACAAAGGAAAATTGATTGTCAGGACCAGTTTTCAGGCTTGAAAACGCCCTCGTGCCTCAGAGCCCGAACAGTTGCGTCAGCACTTTTTCTTTTCTTTATTTTTGTTATCGAACCGTCTCTGAATCCAGAAAAGGAAATCGACAATCCAACATTCAGAGCCGGGACACACACATTGTTTAGTCAGAGGAGGCAGAATTTAATTTCTGCCATGCTATTTTTCTTCCATCCCCTCTGGTGACAGTCAATGCTGGACTCATTGTTTTCTGTTTTTCTTGAATGTGTCATTTCAGAAATGCATTTTGAAAGCTCTTAGCATTTGGCACAAACATTCGCTTTGGCTGAAGGATGAATTAATTGCATTAAAATAGTTAGATTTCACAAAAATCTCTAATAGGATAAAAAATATAATGATGCTTTTAAATCCGAAAGGTCAAAGCTTCACTTTCATAATTTTCTGGAAGTTTCTCACTAAAACTATTCTTACAGCGAAATAGTGACCATTATTCACATTTGGTAGGATGCCCAACTGGTGACACCCTCTGTGAATAAAGGACCAACTTTGATGAGAATTTGACACTTTTTTTTTTCTTGCCTGAACTTCCTTAATTAAACAATTGCCTAGTTTCAAGGTTATACCTTTGAGTTTCTACATCCATCCATTCATTTATCCATCTCTTATGCTGTGATGGGTTAGAGGCGGGTTACATCCCTGGACAGATTGCCAGTCTATTGTTCGGCCAACACAAAAAAAATTCCAATTAACCTCACATTTATCAGTATGGTCAGCTCCATAGATTTATAGATATTTCTGAAGTCAGTAGGGGCATGGATCAGAGAAAAGAGTAACTTGAGCAGAGAAATAGCTGTGTGAGTACTATTTTAAGATGGACTTTAAGTGAACCTCTCCTTGACAATATTAAAATCTGATTCTGTACAGGTTAAGACATCTTCACTTTAATAACTGAGATAAGACTCCAAATGTAGAGTCACTTGAAAACAAAAGCACACCCACTTTCTATTGTAAGAGTTTCTGTATCAGGACATGCTAAAAATAACCTGGTCCTTAGCAGGTTCTAAATTTCGGTAAATACAACCTCAAGTGAACTAAAAAACATGTCATTTTACACCATGTCATTATTTAATTAACAAACATTAAGCTGAAATGCAGAAGCAGTGTGTGGGAAAATGAAGTACACTCTTACTGCTTCCATAGGAATGGGGAAGTAGGTGTTAATCAAATGCTCTTGATTAAATGATCATCAGCAAGCGTGACCACCTGTCTGAAAGCTGAATTTTTGCCAGTTTGCTGGTCCGGAGCATTCAGGTCTTTTACACAATGCCAGCAACGAAACACATCAACAGTGATGAAATTAAATTGGAGAGGTTTAGTCTTAATGGATAGCACCACATCTGGCAAAAACCAAACACGGCATATCAGGACAAAGAGGCGGTCGAGGGGTGGTGGTTTAGACTGGTTTGGAATTGGACCTGGACATCCTGCAGTCACTGTCTCGACCATGAACTACTCTGTATACCAGAGTCAGATGTGAGGCTACATGTCTATCAGCTGAAGATCGTGCAAAACCGGGTCCTGCAACAGGTCAATGATCCCAAGCACAGCAACAAAACTACAACAGAATGGATGGGAAAGAAAAGACTTGAGCGAGCTGTGTCGCCAAATGAACTGAAGCAACATTCCCCCACCTCTTGTGAGAGATTGTGAGAGACTGATAAAGTCGCACAAAAAATTGCTTACTTCAAGTTCTTGACGATTGGCTCTACAAGCGGATGTGGAATGACTCTAGGGTTCAAACTCCAGACTGTAATAACTGCACCACCACTTCCTGTTTCTTAACCGAATAAAGCAAGTAGGACATGCATGGGGTCACATAGAAGGGTTCTGCATATTTGTTTTTCTCATTACATTTACACACTAACATAGCAGGCGTACACCTGAGCAAGACCAAGCAAAATCCATCTGAGGAGTTGACAAAAGTTAGAGTTGGGCCTTAAGTCTAATTTCCATTTTTTTACAAAATAACTTTTAACCATTTCGTATCTGAAATCTTGTATAGTGTCTGAAAGTGTGACGCTATCACTGGTTTTACTGTTAATGGCTCTTCCTTTGACACAGAATGATAAATGTCACATGAACCACAAAATAATTGATCTCTTAGTTTGAAGCATACTTAAAGATGTGTCTTCAGTGACAAACCACATCTGTAAGCTTT